GCGGGAGGCAATGGCTTGTCAAACCAGTTCAGTTAGGGTGGCCCAACCAGCCAGCGGCTGAGCGGTGGTGATGTAGGCGGCTACAGCGGCCAGAGCAGCATGAGCCGCTACGACCAAGGTTTCACAGGGAAACTCCAGTGGTTTTCAACCGAATGTTGCATAGGCCGCCCAGGAGCGGCGCACAGCAGCTACTGCAGAAACGGAAGCCGTGCGTCTGCGGGAGGGGCCGGAATGGGAGGGATGACCAGCTGTGCAGTGTGAGTGGCGGATGGGGCATGTAATCCATCTGCATCGCTGACTCTCGGTCTGTGTTACTTGAATGAAAAAAAGAAAAGTGTAACAGTGTTGCAATACCAGCTTGTGACGTAGGCTTTAAGTGGAAACCCGGAGTGTTTTAAAGACTTCTGGTTCAGTATCTTTGACCACCACTGTCATCTAGGATGTAACAACTGAGTTGAGTAAATGACACCTGTTAAACGATTTTTTACTTTACTCAAGTTAGTTGTATTGTACAATGCACTTAAGCAGTAAGTATATTTACGTTAACGCAGTTGAATTATGTTAAATGTTGTTCTAACACCACATTACCCTGAACACTGTTTTAGAGGCAGGTTGGAAGACCTGCTTTTTTTTTGGTAAAACTCAGTATAGGAGCTGTCTCTCCAATTGAAAGTGAAACATTTGGCATGTTTGTTAATTCTAGTTTTCATTTAATAACTTCTAAGGCATGTAAGGTTAAGCTTTTTTTTTTTAAGTTAATGGGGACAAATTGAGATGCAATACCAATACTGTAGGATTTTGGTCTTGGTGTTTGCATGACATTCCGAGGCCTTGATTTAAGTCTTCCATTGCATCGTGAGTTCCTTTTAGACGTATTGCACTAAGTGAAACTTGTCAAATAAATCTTCCTTTAAAAAAAACACCTCACACACAAATGTTCATAGAATCACTATTTGCAATAGTCAAGAAATGGAAGCAACCCAAATGTCTATGAACAGATAAATGGGTAAGCAAAAGGTGACCTGTGCGTTCAGTGGAGTACTGTTCAGCCATAAAACGAGACATGGTCACATCACGGTTGAACCTTGGAAACATTGTGTGGAGTGGGAGCAACCAGCTGCAAAGGGCACCTACTGTGTGATTCCATCCGCATGACACACCCAGAATGGGCGAATCCAAGCACACGGCGGGTGATGCAATGTAGAGACTTAGGTTTGTCACCCTCCTCTGAAGCCTGCTGCATTCTCTTCCAGCAGGCAGGGACATTATTGCCGAGTCACCTTGCCTCTGTGAAGATTTGGCCTCGTGCTTTGTCAGGGTGGATCTGATCGAATAACCCCCTAGCTCTAGGACGGATGCGTTAGTCCTGAGCATTGTCTGCCCTCCCAGGCCGTGGTTCTCCCAGGCTTTCAGTTGAAAGCTGAGGTGTCTGTCAAGCCCCTCCGACCGGTCAGGGTTCGGACTTGAACGTCATCTCTGATGGGCAGCAGCTGAAATGCCTGTTCAGTTTTCCAGCCTCCTTGACCTTGCTCACCACGGAACCTTGGAGTCTGACCTGCATGGGAAAGTCTGAGGGATTACCCAAGGGTTGGAGAGACGTTTATAGAAAGATTTTGGGGGTTTCCCTTTGTGGTTCTGTCCTCCCTGGCTTTCCCACTCGGTAGGTAGCCGCTCTGGTAGTCGGTCCTGACACGACACTCCCCTGACTGCTCAGGGCCCAGGCGGTGGCTTTCTGCTTGGCCTTCATCTGCCACGAGTGGGCGGGAGTCGGGACAGTCCTCGTGCAAGGGCTGTGTGAAATGGATCTCTCCCCGGGTGGGCCTTTTCTTCCAGGTGCCTTAAAGCAGGGGTTTTTTAAATTTGTTTTTCCTTTTTACGTTTTTGTCAAGATGTGATCATCGTTATCCATAGAACAGTTATTTGATATAAGCTCTTCTGCCTTTATGAGAACCAGGATTCCCGAATGGTCTCTTAAAAACATTTCTCTCCTTCCTGAAACCCTCATTCTTCTCCATCCCAGTTGGAATGAAGTCAGACTTCTTTCCCTGACACGCAAAGCGCTACGTGACCCGGACCCTGCGGGCCTTTCTGCCCTCGCTGTGCCCGCAGCCCCGCGGGGCACATCCAGTTCTCTGACTCCGTCGCGCTCTGCGGTGCCCAAGGTCTGCACACGCTGCTTCCCGTGATGGCAATACCAGTGCCCCCGGGCCCAGCGGTGCTTCGGACGTCGGCTCAAATGCTACTTCCTCTGGAAACTGGTCATGAATCTGCAGGTAGACTAAGTTCCCCTTGGCCGCCTGCTAATGTCACCGCGTGTCTCTTTTGTAGAGCTTGTATCACAGTCTGTCGTCAGGTGCTTGAGGGGTTACTGGACTGTGTGCCTCCCCTCCACACTGTCACGAGGACAGGGCATGGACCTCTTTGCTCATTACCTCTCCCTGTGCCTTGTGCCGTGGCATCTGGCTGGTAGCACATGCTCAGTGAGGGTGCCGAATGAATAGAGGAGTCGGAAACAGTGCATCATGCGTGGGAAATGTTCCCAACTGCGTGTCTAGGCGCTAAGACGTGGAAGAAGCCCTGAGACACCATGAGACACGTGTCAAATCACCCGACATGTCAGACCTTCAGCGCCAGGATGCGTACCATGTCACGGCTGGAGGAGGTGGCCTTGTAGGTCGCTTCCCCTCCCCAAACCCAGGCACTCATAAAGAGATAAGAGAAGTCGAGACAAAAGCACAGTGTGGGAAGCAGTAATAATATGGGACCAGACACAGGGGACTTGGATAGTGGGTGGAATTATGACTTTTAACCACAAACACTGCGTGTCCTGCCCGGGGCCAGGGCTTAAACAATATATACGTGCTGCTCGAGGGTCATTGTTCCGGCAACAGCAGGTAGAATCACAGAGGCCGGGAAGGAGCCAGGTCCCAGACGAGTCTGATACGGCGACCCGGCAGGGTGGGGCTGGCGCCAGGCTGCCGAACAGGGACGCGACCGAGGGGGCACTGAGCCAGCAGACCCAGGGAAGGCCAGACTTGGGAAGGGTTGGACGTGCTCTCTCTCTCCTAATCTTTTTTTTTTTTTCCCTCCTCTGCTACCGGAGGAGATGGAAGGGGGTGGGGCTGGATGGGGAAGAGACCGGAGTCCTGGCGATGATTCTGCGTCTCCCCTCCTCTACCTCGCTGTCAGGCTCTTCTCCGCACCCGGAGGTGTGGGCCACGTACAGGGCGTCTCTCCAACGACAGCCAGCCTTGCGCCCCCTTCCGAGAGCTGCTCCACCAAATCCCTTCTCTGCGGGGCCCTTGGAACCGGAAACTAAACCACGCACAAACCACTTCTCATGTCCTAAGGACCATTTCCCCTGTCAGTGTCTACAGGGACCAGAGATGACCTGGGGAGAGGGGGTGGCGAGACCAGAGTCAGGACCGTAGTGTTTTCACCCCGTCTTTGGGGCGCGCCCTTGGACCTTGTTTTATCTTTGCCCCCTTTTACCAGCGACTGTCACCTCGAACTACCTCACTGGAACGTACTGTGAAACCCACCTGGGTCTCTTGTAGGTTTATGGCCCGTGTTACTTCTTTTGTGTGGAAGCTTTGTGGGGGAGGGTCTGCAGTTCTGGGGGAAAGCCCGCAGATGCCAGGGGGCCCTGTGCCTCTTTGCTGGCACCCGTGGGCGCTTGTGTGTGCCCCCCTTCAGCACCACAGGCAGCACCCACGTACCTCTCTCCCAGAGGCGCATTCAGGGCTGAGCGAGAAGGAAACCGGGGCGATCGCTCAAGCGCCCAGACGAAACCTGAAAACCTGAAGCGAACTGGATTTTGGGTAGCTATTGTCTCCAATTCTTTGTCTCCAGGGAGCTCATTACTTACAAGAATTCTTTGGAATATTAGCATAGAGCCCTGAGACACACTTTTTGAGAAAGTTACTCGAGGCTTCTTGATATGTATCCCCGTGTTTCCCCAGAGGCAGAGGGAGGAAAGTCTTCAGAACCCACGGCGGGGCAGCAGGCAGGTCAGCTCTGTGTTGCCAGGGCCAGCACGGTTTCATCTGCACTCAGGATGCTCTGGGAGACGAGACTCTGACTCGATGCCTGGCAGCTGCTTTCTTGTCTCGTTTGTCCTGATCTGTGCATTCATGTGTTTGCACGGGAGTAACCCCTGCTCGAGGGGCTAGAAGGGCATCTCTAACCGAGGCTTTCTCCCGGTCCCCAAGACTTGCCTGCGCCCATTGTCCAGCAGCTGGGGTCCCCGTCGTTGGGGCCGAACTAGAAGGCTCACAGGTGGGCCGACCCTGGGCTACAGTTCCTCCTGTCGTTTAAGCCCTGAGAACGCTGGCCTCAGCTGGTCACATCACCACACTTACCTGTGAGGCCGGGCACCTGATGAGAACTAGGAAGAAGGCAGTTAGGGCAAAGGGGAATGCCTTTCCATGCTCAGCGGTCTGGCTTGCTTTAAGCCTTGTGGCTCCAGACGTAACGTCACAATGTCTATATCACTGGCACCTGGGGCACCGGAGACGTTTCCCTAGAATAGGAGCATGGTTGGGGATTGCATGCTCACTGATTTGGGGCAGGTGAAATAATTTAATGATAATGATTTCAGTGCCACCTGCATGGAACTTCAGTGGGGTCAGTGACCAAATACGGAAACACATTGTATTTCATCAGGTCTTGCCGAGGAGATCTCAACAGCGACTGCCTTTATACAGACCGACTCATGACATGGGGAGGGTGGTCCCTGCAGAGAGGCTCCCGTGTGGTTTGTGTCGGGAGGATCTAGGGTGGGATGGGATTAGGCCAGTGCTGACACACAGGGGTTTCTCAGTTGAAATTGCGTGTATGTAATCAGCATGAAAGGGAAATCTGGGCAAAGAAAGGAACAAGAATGTTAAATAAAAAAAAAAAACACCCCGCCAAGAAATAGGCCTGTTTATGGACTCAGAACAATGTTGGGTGAGAATAAAGCAACTCTTCTTCTCATAAAGAATAGTCCTTCTTCCTTGCTTTTTCCTTCTGGCATATCAAGTTTTCGGTTTTTCTTCAGGTCTGTCCCTGTTAATAAATGAACGGACGCAGAGATGACTGCTGTTGTCACGGGCAGGCTCAGCGGGCCTTTGCCCTCTCGAAGGACCCCGAGCTGTGCTTAGTGCCAGCAACCCTCCTGATCCCCACATCTCTCCACAGAATACAGTGGGCGAATACAGTGCTGACCTCCGAGGGTATGCCAGTCAATTCTAAAGTGGTGTCCCCACTCCTGAGCGGAAGGCTGTGGCTGCACCATTAACTACGGACACTGAAGCGAGAGACTTGCCTTTCCCTGCCGCCCTGACTCTCACCGCTGCCCCTTTTTTAACTGCGCCAGCGGGAAGGTGTTGGACAGGGTGGCAGAGACCCGAGGCCCCGATGGTGGCAGGGAAGTGCTGGCTGGGTCTCAATCCACACGTCCTTGTGTGAGTGAACTTGGAAAATCATTAGCCTCTCTGGGTTTCAGTCCTCACAGTCTCAGAAGAGTTGTGTTGGACCAAAGGACCCGAGACATTGAAATTCTTGCCTATGACTGATTGTCCCCAACTCAGGTATAATTTCTGGCCCCATTGCTCAATTTCCCCTGGCCTTTCACTTGATTTTTCCTGAAAAACCCCTGGTCCCTGCTATTTGGTGTCATTGGAGGTGGGGCGAGGAGCTGAGAGACTTACTTTTTAGGAATACAAAATTTTTCACAATCATATTTATTTTTGAAGTTGTTTCTGTTGCCTGAACAGCCAGAGAAGATGAAGAGCTCGCACATAAACGTGAAGGTGTTGTAGTAGTACCTGGTCAGGGTCAGCTTACAGGTGCCGTACAAAGGAGGGTAGTTGCAGATGTCTGTGCATGAGAAATGCCACAGTCAGGCTTTCTTCCCCCTGCCAAGCTGGCATTCTTTCCCTTGTGCAGCCAGACGACCAGCACTCATCAGCCCGTGGGAAGCTGCCTGACGCTTCACCAGTGGAAGAGTTCCCTGAGCATAAGCTTCACTGTCTAGGTGAGGCTGGGGTAGCGATTCTAGACTATCGCTGGGCTCAGTGACCCAGATCCAGTTGGAGGACTACACGTAGCTCTGCTACCTTAGTTACAGAAGCAAGAAAGGCCCAAGTCTTCCTCTGTCCATCACAGCATCCTTTCTTCATGTTAAATATATCCCTTTTCCCGCCCTGGCCAGGTGGCTCAGGTGGCAGAAGTGTCATCCTGTGCACCAGAAGGTTGCACGTTTGATTTCCCATAGGGCATATACCTCAGTTTTGGGTTTGGTCCTCGGTCAGGGCACGTTCAGGAGGCAACCTATCGATTTCTCTCTCACATGGATGTCTCTCTCTCTCTCTCTCTCTCTCACTCATCAATACACATCCTCAGATGAGGATGTAAACCTTTCCTAAGTCTGGGCACGCTTTTCCATGCCACTGGAAGTGAATCTCATCCGCTTGCCCTCCCAAGGACACAGGTTAGAGCCCCTGCTTTCACTCCCACAGAATCCAGGTGCACACACAAGCTTAAAGGGACTTTGACCCTCTACGCCTACTCCTGAAGGACAGGATTACAATGCCTAGCCTGGCTAAGGAGCTGTCTTTCTGCCACCAAAGCCCATGTCCTCTCCCATCCAGCCCCCCATTTTTGGCTACCCGGCTGGACTCACCTGGCCTGACTGAGACCATGAAGGACAGGTGGTTAGGTCAGGAGCAATGATGACCATATCGGAGACAAAAAAAGAATTCATGTCAGTCTTCTTGATGTCCAGCTACTGGCCTTATCCTTAACTGGGCATGTGCCTCATTCATGCTAAATCTTTCATGCATGTCCATTACAATTTGAATCGAGCAAATGAATTTAAATAAGTAGCATGTATGTCCTCAGCATGCTAATGAGGGGTGTGATACAATGGTCCTCTATCTATGTGTTAAACAGAATTGAAATCCATCTAATACACACACACACACACACACGCACACACCAGTAAAGAAATTTTCTGGACATTCCTGACATCAATGTAATTTCTATAACCCCATCCCTCTTCCACCGAAATCTCTTGGGAAAGACTTAAGTCAGTTCCACTTTCTGTGTTTCTGCTTTTCCAATCCGTAATAGACGGAACCCAGTGTAAATCCTGGAATCAGACGCTCTAGAACCATGCGGGTTGAGATAAAAGCAGAACTTGACTCCTTCTCATTGGCAGCAACATTGCCTAGGCTGCCCAGACCACCTCGGCCTGCGCACTGTCCTCCTGGGTTGCCCTTCTAGGAAGGCCTTACCTCCAAGATGTCCGCTTTCGCACAAATTCTGTCTGAGCTTATCAGGGAAGAAGAAACGTGCAAGTGTGTGGCGGGGCATGGAAAGGATGAGGAGCAACATGAAAGAGTGGATCAATTCCGGCTTCATGGTGTTGCAGATGGCAGCTGGGACAGCCCTAGGCTGAGCTGAAATTATATCTCGGGGGCCGAGCTCTTTCTCCTGGAAGGAGTTGAACACATGTCTCTGATTTCATTTCCCCAGGGCCCAAGCGCGAGCAGAGAGCCTTCCAGACTCAACCGAGGGAGCAGGACACGCCGTGCTTGGGCACCCAGCCATGCAGCTTGCAAGGTCACAATTTGTCAGAGCTCCGCTGCTGAACCTCAGCCTCCCTCCCTCTCTTCCAGATCTAGGGATCGTGATCATTCATGACGGCTCAGGATATCAACACGTCTCCGATAAACAGTTGTAAATAACTTATTAGCAGTGCTTTACTAGACAGGGTGGGGCAAAAGTAGGTTTACAGTCATTTGTATGGAAACGAATGCAATAATTAATAAACGATACAAACTTACTCTATGTTTTATGTACTCGCAATTGTAAACCGACTTTTGTCCCACCCTGTGTAAATGTAAAAATCTGAAAGGAAGTTAACACAGTCCTGAACCTCAGAAACTGGAACAACACCAGCAAAATAAATATAAAGAAAGTAGACAGAAGAGGTGGATGAACTTAGTAATGGAAATGAATGAATTAGAGAAACACTGACCTTGCTAAAGAGAATAAAAGTTTGTATTGTAAAAATACCATTGAGATAGACAACATTTTGGCAGGAATAGATAACATTTTGGCAGAAAAGTAGAGAGGAAATAAACACCTCCCCAAACAGAAACAGACTCCTAGATACAGAGCGCAAACTGAGGGTTGCCCAAGGGGAGTGTGGCTGGGGGGCTGGGGGACACAGGTGAGGGGTGAAGCAGTACAGACTGGGGGTCACAGAGCAGTCACGGGGACGTCAAGGGCAGCACAGGGGGTGTGGTCGATACTGTCGTAATAACTATGTCTGGCGTCAGATGGGTCCTAGGCTTGTTGGGGGGGGTTACTTCATAAATGATATAAATGTCTAGCCACTATGCTGTACACCTGAAACTAATATCTTTAATGAAATAGTATTAAATGTCAACTCTAACGGACAAATACAAAAAGAAATACACATCTTCTATAATAGGAATGTGAAAAGGATAGAACTCAAACACAGAGGAGAGGGAAAATTTACTAGAAATTTACGAGAGCTTCTATCTTAGTTTAAAAATAACCAAGTCATAATTGAAATCATCCTGTGCAGACGGATCTGGGGCTTGCGTTTAATCCTTAACATTGTATTGGTGAACTTTTAAAATAGCTCCACGGATTGTATCAGTGTATCATGACTTTATTGAACTTTTTTTCATATTAAAAGTCAGTTAGGTTGTTTTTTGATAGACAATTACAAATAATGCTGTAGCGACTATTGTTGGGCATGGATTTTTATGTACAATTATTTCTATGGTGTACATTTTTAGAGGCGGCCTTCTGGGCAGAAGTATCATTATAAAATTTAGCAGATATTACCCAATTCATCGCCACCTCGCCACCGCTGGTTGTTTTTTGTTTTTTAATCTAATGAGTGGAAAATGGCAGGGCATCATTTTAAATTACATTTTCCTGACTACCAGTGGGGGGTCAGAACATTTTAGCATGGTTATTGACATTTTGAATTTGTGAATTACCTGTTCTTCAATGTTGGTTATTTTTATCTTAAGATATCATTTTTCCCTTAATGATTTATAAGATACTTTATAAATTATGAGTCTTTATAGTAACATTTGCTGCAAAATGTTTTCTTCTGGGGTATTATTTGCCCTCACATACTGTTGTGGTTTCTTTGAGTACTTTTACTATTTATATGATTATATACATGTATTTATATAATTAAATATGTCATTCATAAACACATGAACAAATTCAGGGCTTTCTGAGTTAACTGTCTTTCTTTTTCTTTTCTTTTTTTAAAAAGATTTTATTTATTTATTTTTAGAGAGGAAAGGGAGGGAGATAGAGAGAGAGAGAAACATCAATGTGCGGTTGCTGGGGGCCATGGCCTGCAACCCAGGCATGTACCCTGGCTGGGAATCGAACCTGTGACACTTTGGTTGGCAGCCCGCGCTCAGTCCACTGAGCTACCCCAGCCAGGGCTTAACTGTCTTTCTTAGAAAGCACCCCATCACTCCAAATTAGCAAAGTGGTTTTCTTACATTTTATTCTATAAGTTCGCCATTTATCATTTTCTAAGTTTTTACATTTACAACTTTCATATATTTAAAATGTATTTTTGTGTATAATGTGGGGTAGGGATCTAATCTGACTATCATATCAAATGAATAGCAAATTATATAATCATTTATTGAAGAATATATCAACATTTCCTTTGATTGGAAATGCTAACTTCGTCATGTTCTTAGTTACACTTGGACCTGTTTCTGGATTTTCTGTTTGGTTTATCCGAGAATGTCTCTGTTCAGATGTTTGTCCCTCATTGCTGGGCCGGGTGGAAAGGCGCACCTCACTCCCATGGTTCCAGCGGAGTTCACGTTCTTGTTTTACCTGCTGACCAGCCCAGCTCCCAACAAGAAGGATTAGCAGAAGTGAGCATAACTGAATGGGAGAGGACCAAGGCTATGAAGGGTTGACTAAATATCTCCCAGGATGCTGGGCACTTTGATGCTCTGCACGAAGTGTCTCTGTCGTCGTATATAAATACGGCGGAGAATGCCCTGCACCCCGTGTCTCTGGGGGAGAGCAAGTACTATTTCAGCAGAGAGCACAGAGCATAAAGCTTTAGATGAAAGAGATGTGAGGTGGAAAACCTTGAGGGTCATTAACTTTCCTTTATTTATTTATTTTTTTGCTATTGCCTTTTCTGCTCCATCTGGTAGAAAACTAATGACGGAAGGTTCTTGAGAAATGCTCGAGGCACCCGCGTGCCCAGTGGCAGAGCATGAATAAAACAAGCAGTTGGCACGGGGCCAGGCAATGTCATTGCACCTGCAGCTCACTCCTAGTTGTGCCTCTCTTTCCACTTGTGTGGTCACAGGCTCCTTAATCCGCTCTTATGGCCTCAGTGGAAATTCTCTTGGAAAGGCAGAAAAAGAAAGGTTATGTTTTCGTCTGAAATGAGTGAATCCGACCATAGGGTAGCTACACCTAAGGCTTCACTGAAGGGACTCGGTGCCCCAGAGCATGCACTATTCGTCATCCTAATCGGCCAGCTTGCACGGAAGTTAGCAAACATGACACGGAAGTTCGAAAGCCTGAAAGATGGAAAGGTTAAAACCTACCCAGGAGTCCCACCGTGAGCTCGTGTTTCTTCTGTCTAGAATGTTCATTCGGGTTACCCGATGTATAAAGACACTAGTTAAACAGAGCTTTTGGCCAAAGATGAGAGACATGGAATATATCCACGGGGGTGGGGGGGGGGATGTTATTAAAACAGCTACAGCCTTATATGGTGCAGCACAAATATCTTCCCTCTTGTTCCTTGCTTGTGTAGTTGGAAAATTAAACAAAATTCCCTCTTTCCAATTTTACCTGCTGTTTCATGTAAGATAGGTTGGTTGGTGTAGAAACTGCCTATTTCATGCACTGGTTGCAGAATTTACCAGCGGGATTCAGTCAGTGCTAACAGAGAAGGGGCTGCATCTGTGAGACCCTAGCCCTGTAGCTAGCTGAGGGAGTAAGTGGGACTTTTAATTGAATCTTTTTGGCTCACGGGTAAATGCTTTGGGCTAGGTTAATCAATAGCCTCTAAAAGGTTTAAAAATGGCAAACAAGTTAAAGAGTCAAGGGGTGAAATGTAGTGAATATTTTTGGGTTTGTGGGCTCAGCATGGTTTCCTCCCTCTGGTAACAGCATCTCCCTCCCCAACTTTTTCTGCAGAGCTCTCCCTCCACGTCCTGAACGCCCCGGTGAGGGCTCCCTCTCTCGGCTCTACGTGTGGGAGCTCGTCCGGAGTCCTGAGCGGGGGACTGGGGCGGGGTGTATGTGAGTGAGCGTCAGGGGGTCCGGGCCGCCACTGTTCAGGGTTCTTGATTGCTATCGGGCAACTCTTAATTTTAACTTCAGATTGGTGCCAGAATATTTTCTTGTTGCTAAGGAAATAAATTATTGTTTTGTATTTGGACATTGTAACTGAAAAAGAATTGCACAGGTCCACCTTGTCTGCATAGACCATCCCAATTCTGTTACATAATATAACTCCACATTGCCATGTGATTCATAATGTAAACTTTGTGTGGCAACGAATCTAAGTAACCTCAACATGGATATGGGTGGAACATTAGTTTTGAAAAAGGTTCAACTTATATTTTAAAACCTCTGACATTTACATTTTTTGCGTATTTGTCATTAGGATTCTGTTCCCCATTGATAAGGTGATTACCACACAATTGCTTCATTTCCCTGTTGGGCTAGCTCATGCTTCACGAGAGGGAGCCGCACGAGTCAGGATTCCTTGTTCGAAGTCCTTCCCAATGCAGCTGCATGAAGGGCTTGAACCCTGATTTAACAGTCAGCGGGTAGGGGCTCAGTGTCTGTGAATGGCTGGAGTGCATTCTCAGCCACGTGGAAAAAGGTCAGGGCCAGAGACTGGAGTACAAGGAAACGGAGGGTTCCAGTTTCGTGTTTCCCAGTGAGGACAAGGCCCAGGGGCGACAGGGTTGGCTAGGAGAGGCCTTAGGCTGTGACAGCCGAATAGGTATGTTCCAGAGTGTGGGATGCTGTGTAGTCGTCCTTTGAGTGTTCAGAAGAAAGCCTGCCTGCTAAGACTATTATTTAAATGTCGGGCCCCTGAAGTTCCTGCAGGGTCAAGTGCAAGTGTGGGAGCGACGGTTCTGGACTGAAGGTTTCCAGGGAGACGAGATGAAACGTTCCGCTCCAGCGTGTGGGGTCGAAGACACTGGGTGAAAATGTTATGGGGTGGAAAACAGTGGGGATCATTAATTTCCTGCTTGGGCGAGAGCCTAGGAAAGAAAGATGCTCGAGAAAAACTTGGAGTGCCTAGGGAACCCTTTAACAGTCCATCCGAACGAGGAAGAGATCTACATTAGACCCGG